TTGAAGAAATAATCAGAAAGGAGCATAATAAGAAGAAACTAAAAAAAAGAAAGAAGTTAGAAGAAGCACAAAAATGTAGTAGTTAGCAGAAAGAATATGAAAGGAGCACAAAACAGCTGAAATTAGCTGAAAGTAGCTGAAAATGTTAAAATTTGCACAAGGAAGTTGAAAGAAGCTGAAGCAGAACAAAATGTAGAGGGAGCAGTGAAAGGTTGTAAACAGATCTACAGATCTGATGGATGTAAAATGAGCTCAGTCCATTTTCTATGAGGAAAAATAAAAGGCAGAAAAGGCTAAATAATCTCTTTCATTCTGTTTGTCAAGTTTCTGCAAGGTCGGCTTTTTAAACGAGTGGAACAGACCGACCACGAGCTGGGAATAAGGACGATAAAAAAAAAAGCAAAGGCGAGGAACAGAAGCAGCACGGTCTGCACAGAAACACCAGCTTCGAGTTTTCTCTCCCTTTGAAAGATAAAAGAGACGATAACTTTATTATCGCCCAGAGGGACAAGGCCAGGCGACGTGCCACAGCTCCTGCCTCTGAAACGAGGGCACGATCCGATCATGTTCCACTCTTACATCAGAGCTGATAGCCGGTGCATCATAATTCAGCCACAGATAATTCAGAGAACAAATGGCTAACCTATTATCACAATAAACCCTGCAACGAGAACAAATCACCTTACTGCGACTCCCAGGGTTAGAGAACGTTAAGTTTTTAATTATTTCAATCATCCTCACATGAACTGCTGCTGAACGCCACCCACAGGGAGCCACTCAAAGGACACTGGCCTGAGAGAGAATTTACCAAGGCCACTTTGACAAAAGGTGGAAAAAAGCTTTCAAGGGCTGATAAAAAAAAGCTGCTGCGTGCGTCATTCTTGGGAACTTTGACATTAAAAAAGGCTCATCTTGAAGAAGGTGCTTGAACAAAGAAGTCACGAAGTGCAGCGCTGTGCACAGTTTATTGTCTAGAAACAGAAGATAAAGTAAATCAATACACCCAACTGGAGCTGATGATTATAGATTTTATTTGCAAGTTGAAACAATAAAAAAATAGTTAAAGGAGGTAAAAAAAACAGTGTTGAACCCAAAGGCTGCTACCAAAGTGAGGCGATGGATGGTTCTGTGTCAAAAAAATCAAACACCGTGGCAGAGAACAGCAACAAGGCAAGAACTATACGGCATGATGAGGTCTTTCCAGGGCAGGTATTTCTAAACATGCAAAGTGCACTACTGTATTTT